TGAGCATAAGGTGCCCACTGTGACTGTTTCCACTTCTACATCTTCCCATTCCTTCCTGCTTTTTGCTGCACCTCGCATATATGAATGACTTGTTGTTGTAGTCCCTTGTTCTTCCAGCATCCAGTCGCATGTGTCTTCTTTTCTATTCCTGCTCCATGTCCTTCTTGATATCTCATACTCCATGTGATCCATAAGTCGAGCTGCCTTGTGTATATTGTCAGAGCTTCTAACTGCATTGCTATGCAAAGTTGACATCCAATCTTCTTGATCATGAATGAACCTTCACTTTTGCATGCTTGCCTCTCGAAGTTCCTTGCATTCTTTTGTTGCCTTCTTTTTATGATGTAACTCCTGGGATGTCACATTATAGAATTGCATTAGGGTGCACTTCCATATTGCAACATGAATTTTCATTTTATGTCGCCAATAGTCACAGTTCCTCTTGCCCATAACCACCAATCTGTGTATGTTTCGAACTATGTCCAGTTGTGGATGTTTATTAAGATGTCTCCAGTAACCTTTCATGTAAATCATTCCTTCATCTATGAAAGCCCATATCTTGTTTGATACATTCACTACTGCCTTCGCCAAACCAATCCTTCTTCTATATTTTTCCATTTTGTGATTTAGAAAGGGTTCTCCCTATTTGTACTCCTCCTGCTGGAACTGTGGAGGTTTCTTTTCGTAGTTTTTTCCTACCCTTGACAGTAGATTTAACCTGCTCAATGTGCCTAGGAGATAAATCTCCTTGTTTTGCAACATTGAGAAAATTTTGTGCAGTTGACTCCTCATCGAGATCTTTGATTGCCTGATCACCTTGCCTCTCATCTCCTTTAGCCTCATCGACTGCCAATAACTCAATATTCTTTTGCACATTGATCACTTGCCAGGTACCTGATTTGTCAGTATTTTGAATTTGGACATCTGCCAATGGAACAGTAGCTCCAAGTTACATGTTCTAATGGACAAGTATATTTTAGAAATGATATACTATATTTGCTGCTTTTGCTAACCTATATTGTATTTGCTTTTCAGAATCTAAAAAATATTTGAATAGTCATGAATCAAGAAGGGTGCTCAAGCAAAAATAAGAAAATATCCAACCGCATTCCGGCTGCATCACTTGCATCTTTGCAATATCAAAGGGTTTCGTCGTTGACAACAAAAAGAACCTTCCAAGCTACAAGGTCAAATGCAAATGAAGAACGACAATCAGAAGGTGGATTACCTTCATCTTTGCGAAACCAAAAGGTTTCGTCGTTGACAACAAAAACAGCCTTGAAAGCTCTAAGGTCAAATGCAAATAAAGAACGACAATCGGAAGGTGGATCTCATTTGCAAGAAAAAGTGTAGCAAATGCCACGGAATTGCACCTCTTCAGCAACACAAGAAGTACAGGAACAAGTGCGACAACGGAATATGGATTCCATCACTCCTGCATCACAGGGAGTACATGAACGATCTGATGATTCTACCACTCATGAAGCAGTTGAACAATTTGAGTAACAAGGCAAATATATATAAATTTTAATCATAAACTTAACTAAAAATAGTGATAAATGATTATCTTTGTTTTGTACTATTGCAGGCCCCTCCTCGCCAAAAAGAAAAAGAGGTCGTACTCAAATGCCAAGGGTTCATGGTAGAAAGGAGCGTAAAATAATCACTCTAAATGAGTATAATCAACCTGTTGGTCCTACTGAAGAGGTTGTAAAAGAGTTGGGTAGCTTCCTCGGTACATTGGCAAGGAGTGGGAATTTTTGTCCTCTTAATGTATTTAATTGGAGAAAACTTGACATAAAAGATGATATGTGGAAATATATCAAGGTATGAAGTTCCCAATGTCCAATAAACATGGATACTATTTCTTATTTCATACACTAACCCAATTGCACTAAATTTGTAGGAAAAATATCACATTCCTGACGAGGCGAAACCATGGGTTTTTGAATCAGTTTGTAGTGCTTGGAGAAAGTATAGGAGTCAATTGAAGAAAACTCACTTCACAGCCTATGAGAATGATGAGCTTCGAATGGAGAATATGCAAGTAGATATTCCGGAATCTCACTTTAAGGATCTTCTTAAATATTGGAACTCCGATCCTCACAAGGTAATTACGTCCAAAATCTCTTGTCTTGTTTTAACATAATTGTTTCTTGGTATCTCAGTCAAATGAATCAGAAGTAAAATAGTACCGAACATGAAGGTCTTAGTCCTTTCAAGAATAAACTAATTCTACAGTTTTACTATTGTTGTAACTAGGGGTGGGCATAATACCTGTGCTTTTTGACTTTCTGTGGTTTTGTAATTAATATCACATACTTTGGTTGGAATACATACTATAGTTCAGGAACTCCAGGAAGGCACCAATGTCTACAATCTATAGTTCTGTTTCATCCATACTCTAGGAACTCCAGAAATTGGTTCTGTTTCATTCTAGCAATTCTGACCATTTGCTTTTCCCAATCTTCCGCCCTGCCATGTTATGTTTGAAATGTTTCTATAGTAAATTAGTACTACTACTAGTCAGTTTAGTCGAGTAAGTGTTCATCACTGCTGCAACAAGTGCTCTAAGCATGTCATCTTTTGTAAATAAGGCTCCCCATTTGTCCCTGAAGATCACTGTCCATATAACATTGATGAATCCAATCACAAATGCATAAGCTAATGCAACTGTTGCAGCTAACTTGGCTTTGTATGGTTTCCCAGCTCCTAACTCATTCCCTACCTGAATTTGACATTAAATTAATATACCATTTCAAAAAGATAACTCTATAATATTCAAGATTAAGATAAAATGGCATAACATTTTAAAGTCGAAGATGTTACAATATTAAGATGCTGCTAGTAAAATGCCAAACATATAAAATATGCAAAGAGAGATAAGGGTATTTAGGCATGAAATCCTTGGTCAACTCAACATGGATGATGAATAGGGATGTAAATGAAGTATGATGCAATCAAGTAGTAACTGAACAAAAAGCATACAATCTTTAAGAAACTAGACTCCAGTTTATGTTAAGTTATAATAGGAGCTTCCCTCTCTCTTTGGTATGTTAGTTATATGCTATCAAGAACCAAGATTTCCATAATAGTCTCATGCAGTAATAATAGGAGCACTTATTTACAAAGGGCTCCCTCTCTCCATTATAAGCTTTCCCAATTGCAGTAAATCAATCACTTATTGGTTGACTCGTTTATTTGCAGAAAATATTTGAAACCAATACAAAAAATCGAAATAAGTTGAAGTGTCCGCACACTGCTGGCAGAACACCTTTTGCTTTAATTCGCGAGGTTTGATATTTTATCTTTCTTATTTTTTTAAATTATGAACTTGCTAACTTTATATGGAAAGATTCTTATACATGTTTTCATGTAACTAGGAAAAAAAGAAGGAAATCTCTGATACTTCAGATACTGTATCAAGTAAGGAAATGTTTGTGGCTACAAGAAAAAGAAAACTTGGCCGAGTATACAAAAGCTCATATGACAATACAATTAGTAAAATTGTACGAAATTTCTAATTTAAAATTTGTCGTGCTTATTTATTTGTTCTTAATTGTTGATTCAACTTTAGTTACTTAAAACTCTTTTTTCTCGCATTTTTGGTTTGTAGGCTGAAATGGAGAGAATACAAGCAACTCAGAAAAGTGAAGATGGCAGTTATTCAGATGACGCTTTTGCATCAGTTATGGGACCTGAACATCCAGGTCGCGTGAGATTGTATGGACGAGGGGTTACCAAGTTTGTGTTAAAAGGGCAAAAAGGGAATCTTGAATCTTCTGATGAGAGGATGGAGCAGAAAATGGAGGAAATGGAAGAGAGGATGCAACAAAGAATGCATGAAAAGTTGAACAAACAAAAGGATGCCATGGAACAAAATATTACAATGAACGTCATCGCACGACTTCAACGTCTGAACGCAGATTTGCGACTTGATCCTGACATGTTAAGGTTCAGTGCACGTTCACCTGTAGAAGCCTCCTCTGCACAACAAGCTGCCGTTCAACTAAACAGTCGACCATCTGCTGGTAGTAAAAATCAAGGTCAGTAGGTACCAAATGTTATACATCATCTTCTATTTCTTCTTCTCCTCCTTTCTTGCTTGGGATTTTGCTTTGGTTAAAGGCAGAGGGGATATGAAATGCCATGTTTTCCATTTTCACTAGGCAGTCCATATGGCTGTATTATCATGTCTTTGTACAGTTATATTGACATTTATATTGACATTTATATCATCTGTTTACTGTCTCTGCTATAATGTTATATCTGCTGCATGCAATATGTTTATGTATTCTGTTTAAACTGATTGGAATTGGATGAGAGATCCACCTACCTAGTTGCTGTAGAAAGCTCCTTTTCTGCTACAGGGATTACTTTGAAGTTCACATATCTCTTACACAAGTTAAGGCTTTACACTTTAGAGAGATAATATACATGGCTCTTACCAACTGAACAAACAACTTTGTTGCAGTTTCTGATTTGTGGATTAAGCATTTACAAATGCATATCCGAGTTTTTGATCAGTTAAATAAAAACATATGTTGTATCAGGAGGCTTAATCACTACCAGTTACTAAAGCTTATCTTGTTAACATTTGCATATCTCTTGAGCTTACAGATCATTAAAATACTTGTACAAATTTGCATGGATATAAAGAGATTTAAATGCGTACCACCTTGAATATGATTTCTTTCTAATAGACTAATATTGCACATTTCATGGGAAGGGAAGCTGATGAAGGCCTATTCTAATCCTTGAACTGATCTTTTCATATTAGTATGTATTTACTAAATGTTTGTTGGTTGGATGGGGCAGGGCATGGAGAAGTAATTGTCCGTCTTAGTCTGAATCAACATGTGCATCTGCACTTTTCTAATAGACCAAATAAAATTCTGGCGGAGCCATTATTTCCTGCTCTAAAAGGTTAAATTTAGGATTGGTATAACTATGATAAACATGTGTATTGGCTGGAAGCAAACTAGTATGCGATGGAAGAGCTAAAGCAAACATGTGGTAGATCTGGAAGCAAACGATGAAAGTAATAACAGATTACTGTTTGAAGGTGGTTGGGCTGCAAAAATGCTGTTGAAACAGCATCAGTTGCAAAATTAAAAGAGAGAAATTACAAGAAGCTGGGGTTGGGGCTAGCGAGAGTGAGGAGAAGGCCTTACGTAGCATTTTGTGTTAACCTTTTGTTCTTGATACTGAAGGATGATAGCAGTTCTCTTATAGAAGTTAATTGCAACCTTATAAAAAAGGTTGCTCGACAAAACACAACCTGTTGACCAGAACATAATTTGGAATTTAACCAAGAACCACTTATTGCTTTCTTGAGCCGTGGGTCTCCTGGAAACAGCATCTCTGCCCCTCATGGTAGGGGAAAGGTCTGTTGTTTTTGTTGTTGTTGTTGTTGTAATAGAAAACATGCCTTCTTTTTTTGCACTCTGTAATAGTAGCTAGCTCTCTCTTCTTTTTTTTTTCATGGCAATTTGTGCTATGAGTTTTCTTAGACCGGATTCTCTTGAAGGATAATAATTTTGTTTATCCTCTTTCGTAGGTGGAGTAGATCAAGAAATGGATGATGAAGACGACGAAGAACTAGACCTTACTTGAGATAATTTTGAATTGTTATATATGAATGTTAGGAATCTTTTGTTACCAACATTTTTTTGAAACTTATTTACCCTTTTGAAATGTACTAAACTTATGCACTCATGGGGTAGAACATTTGCTTTATGGATATTATTATTTGCTTGATGGATAATTTTATATTATTAATAGTTTCATTTTGATTATGTATTTAAATTTTAGTGTTATTATAATTTATTATATGCATAAATTTTATTTATAGCAGGTGCTATATTTTGGTTTTAATTGAACTGATACAATAGCCTACCTGAACCGTTGCAATAGGATACAAGTGGCGTTCCAGTAGACAATGTAAACTGTTGCAATAGGTCCCATAAACTGTTCCAAAATGATCTACAAAACCGTTCCAAATACAAATATAACCGTTACGATAGCTTAAAGAAACCGTTGCTATATCCAACATAACTGTAGCAATAGCTTACATAAATATTGCTTTAAATAATATGGCAACGGTTAAGAACCATTGTATAAACAATATAGTAACGGTTTTAAACCGTTCCAATTGAAAAAAAATAATCGTTCCAACAGAGAAGGGGAACACTGTTGCGATAGATATATCTATTGTCACGGCGATGCAAACCGTTGCAAGAACCGTTCCAGTAGACCTATGGGTACGCCGGCTGATGTAACGGGCGATAAACCGTTCCAAAATCTCTACGGCAACGGTTTGGCAGTCTATGGGGACGGTTTTCCAACCGTTACCGTAGACCAATTTTTCAGTAGTGCAAAATCAACCATGATGAGCAATAATAAGTTGGCTCTGGTCTCAAAACCACCAAGAACAACCAATCACGACCGATAAACGCGGTCCACAACAAGAGAATCCCCCACAGGAGTAGAAACATAAACTGGGGAACTCAAAGAATCCCGAGGTACACCCAAATATGGAGCAAAATAAGAAGACACATAAGAATAAGTGGAGCCTGGATCGAATAGAACCGATGCATCTCTGTGACAGACCAAGATTGTACCTGTGATGATAGAATCGGAGGCGACAACCACAGTACGGCCTGGAAGAGCATAATATCTGGCCTGGCCTCCCCCTCGAGGGCGACCTCTACCTCCCGGACCTCCACCTCTGGATGGCTGGGCCGGTGGAGTAGCAACGTGTGCGGGAACCATAGCCTTCGAGCTCTGCGGGGCCTGCTGTGGCTGAGGAGTCTTCGAAGGTGCACCCCTCCTAAGTCTGGGGCAATCCCTCACCATATGGCGTGTGTCACCACACTCAAAACAAAATCTGGGAGGACGTGGCGGCTTTGACTGGCTCGGGCCAGGTCTGCTGGACTGAGCACTGGAAGCACCCCGTGCAGGAGGCGCACTAGAAACTGGAGGTGCATAATAAGGCTCCCGAGGCCTAGGTGGAGCTGGAATACCACTGGCTGCTGATGAACGGGGCGACCCATATGACCCCTACCATGACGACCTGCAGCTGGGGCACGAGCACCAGAATAACGACCCAACTCTCGAGACATCTTGGTCTCTCTCTCCTCTCTGTCCCTAGCATGAATACCCTCAATCCTCCTAGCAATGCTCACCACCTGCTGATAAGATATATTCATCTCTAACTCACGAGCCATGCTAGATCAGATGCTGGGAATAAGCCCCTCAATGAACCGGCAAACCTTCTCGCGAATCGTAGAAACCAAAGCCGTTGCATGTCTAGCCAAGTCGATGTAACGAACAACATACTCCGAGATAGTCATAGTACCCTAGCGCAAATGCTCAAACTCCACGCACTGGGGGACATACTCCCTCGTGAACATATCCGAAAACTGAGCCCAAGTCAGGGAAGCTTCCTCATGCGGACTGTCTAACTCATAAGCACGCCACCATTGGTAGGCGGCTCCTCGAAGCTGGAAGGTAGTGAAGGAAACCCCACTCGATCTTGATATGCCCGTAGTACGGAGAATACAATAGCACTCCTCTAGAAATCCCAAGGCATCCTCTGATGCTAACCCACTAAATACCGGTGGATCATATTTCTTGAACCTCTCAAGTCTCCGCTGCCCGTCCTCTGATGCCGCTGCCCTGTCCTCGGGCTGAACTGGTACTGCAGGCAGCGCAAGAATAATCTCTGGGACCTTCTCAACATGCACTCGCTGCTCAAGAGTGCGGGCGGCGGGAGTCTGTACTCCTCCCCCAGCCTGAGACGTGGCTGCAGCAAGGGGAAGCAACCCTGCCTGAGCCAAAGTGGTGTACATGCTCATAAACTATGCCAAAGTCTCCTGGAGTGCTGTAGTAGTAGTGGCAGACGTATCAGGTGTCTGGACTCCGGCTGGTACTGCTGGTGGTACATCGGCGGCAGCTTGCTCTGGCTGCACCACGAGCGCGTCCTCGGCCTCTACCCCGGCCCCAGCCTCTGACGACTTCAGGAGGGGGCACGGGTGCCTCGTCATCTCGAGTAGCACGTGTCCTCACCATCTATGAGAGAATAGAGGACAGAAGTTTAGAAATGTGATATCAAAAATCTCGCACGACAAGGAATTCAATCGAAGTGAAATTTTCCTAACAGTTACATAGCCTCTCGTAGATAAGTACAGACGTCTCCGTACCGATCAGCGAGACTCTAATAAACTGACTTGTGATTCATGACTCCTATGAACCTAGAGCTCAGATACCAACTTGTCACTACCCTAGTTCACCCTCCGGGAACCATCGTGACGGCACCTAGTCTCTACAAATAGGTAAGCTTAAATTGCGGAAAAAGAAACCAAAATTTGCGGAAGCAAACAACTTAAACAGATAAAGGAAAATAAACAGTGGTTAAATGTATCGCTCGGCATACACCATATTAAATTCTCAAAACCAATACATAAATCCAAGACCCCAAAACCCATGAATCACAAGCTAAGAAGTACTACATAGCTCTAACTCCAGAATGTCTCACAAGAACTGAAATACAGAATGGACTAATACTAAACAGCAGGAATAGAAAGAGACTCCTCGGTCTGCGGACGCGGCAAATATACCTCAAAGTCGCAATAGCAGTCGCCTCGCCTCGGGGGTGGTAGGACTGAGTCGAAGTACCTAGATCTGCACATGAAAGACATGCGCAGGAAGGGCATGAGTACACCACAACGGTACTCAGTAAGTGCCAAGCCTAACCTCGGTTGGGTAGTGACGAGGAAGGTCAGGGCCCTACTGAGGTTAAATAAGATACGGGGTTTAACAAGATATGAAGGGCTGCAACAACTACTATAAGGGCAAGTAAAACATAGTAAGAGAATACAGCTCAGCTCTAAAATAATAACCGGGGATCTCCCAGGATACCGTCCTGTAGTTCCCAAATATAAATATCATATCCGATGGAATCTCCCGGGTGCAGTCCCGTAGTCCAACTCATAAATGTGCAGGGGGATCTCTCGGAATGCAATTCCGTAGACCCAAAGTAAACATACAGGGGAGCTCCCGGGATACCGTCCCGTAGTCCCAAAGTAAACATGCAGGGGAACTCCCGGGATACCGTCCCGTAGTCCCAAAGTAAAACACAGAGCAGTAACACAAGAATATTCAACAAAGCTAGATTTCTTACTAAGTAAACAGATAAGTCTAGCCTAACATGCTTCACATATTGCATTTTAGGCAAATTGAGCAAATAGGCAATTAAGTCTACTAAACATACTTTTCTAAACTAAAAACAGGCTAAAATGCGCAAGTAAATGAAGCATGAGAGGGAATTCAATTGAAATACTTAAAGAAAATTTTTCAACAATTAGCTCAAGTACGCGCTCGTCACCTCACGTACGAGGCATTTCAATTACCACGATAATAATCCTATGGGGAAAGTTCCCCCACACAAGGTTAGACAAGCCACTTACCTCGAACAAAGCTTAAATCAACCCGAAACCATGCTTTTGCCACGAGTATCCGACTCCAAATGGCCCAATATATTCAATTCCATTATATAATCTAAATAATACTTCAAGAAGCTGAATCTACAATCAAATTCTAAGCTAATACGCGAAATTATGTAAAATGACCAAAATGCCCCTCGGGCCCATGCCTTAGAATCGGGTGAAATTTATCTTTTCGGAATCCTCACACTCGCACGAGTCTATTCATATAAGAATATCTCAAATTGGATGTCAAAAACCCAATCAAAACCTAATAATTCGGCCTATGATGTTTATCAAATTTTTCCCAAATTTTTCAACCAAATTCAAAATTTAAAGGCTAGATTTAAGTTAGGAATCATGGAAATTGATCTAAGTTGGGTAGAGATCGCATACCCAAGTTACCCAGGTCCAAAAGTCTTCAAAAATTGCCCTCCCGAGCTCCCAAATTCGAAATTATGAAAATAAGCTTAAACCCTCGGATTGTGATTTTTAAGAGTCTGCCCAGGTCATTTGTGAATTGCGAACGCGGAAGGACCATCGCGTTCGCGAAGAAGGAACTGAAGCTGCTAAGAAAAGGCCATCGCGAACGAGGAGAATAAAAAGCAGGGGATTACGCGAACGTGGAGGCTTTGTCACGAACGCGAAGAAGAAAATAGCCACAGCCCCTCAGCGCCAAATTCTACTATGCGAACGCGAGGGGTTGGGGTGAGAACACGAAGAAGGGGGAAGGCAAACCTTCACAAACGCGTGAAGCTATACGCAAACGCGAAGAACTATAATTTCCTCCTCCAAGATTACTCTTCGCGAACGCGGAGGAGAAGACGCGAATGCGAAGAAGGATATCAGCTGACCGATTTTCTACAATTGAACAAGTTCTAAAAATGACCCGTTGAGCATCCGAAACACACCCGAGGCCCCCGGGACCTCAACCAAACCTACGAACATAACCCATAACATCATTCAAACTTGTTCCAACCTTCGGAATGCTCAAAACAACATCAAAATACCTATTTTTCATCGGATTTAACCATATGAATTTCAAAAACTCTAAACACACATTTTCGATCAAAAAGTCTACCAAACCTCGTCCGAATAACCTGAAACTTTTCACGCACATCCCAAATGACATAACGGAACTATTGCAACTCTCGGAATCCCATTCCGACCCTCGGATCAAAATCTCACTATCGAACCGGAAACTTCCAAAATTCAACTTTAGGCATTTCCAACCTATATTAGCTACGAACCTCCAAAACACACTCTGATCACGCTCCTAACCCCAAAATCACCCAACGGAGCTAACGAAACCATCAGATTTCCGTTCTGAGGCTGTGTTCACACTGTTCTGACTACGGTCAATTTTCCTACACTTAAGCTCTTATTTAAGGACTAAGTGTCCCAAAACTCTCCAAAACTCAAAACCGAACATCCCGGCAAATCAAAATAGCAGAAATAAACTTGGGGAAAGCAGTTAATAGGGGATCGGGGCGTAAATTCCAAAAACGACCGGCCAGGTCGTTACAGACGCCCTGTGGAGAAATTAGAAATTTCAATGTATTCTTGAAAACTTCATTTTATTTGGTGCTAAGTTTGCAGTTGTAGGTGTTATTTTTGCAATTTGATCGTGCGAGCGAGTTCGTATGATGTATTTAGACTTGTGTGCATCTTTTGTTTTGTTACGACCCTAATTTCTCACCTTCGGGATCGTGATGGAGCCTCACTTTTCAAAATGCTAGGCAAGCCAACAGATAAAGAATTAATACACTAACCACTATCCAAAACAGTAAATAACAATCATTAAACCAAAACACGGTAAAGAAGTGCGGAAATTTATAATAATCCAAGTACTAATACATAGCTACCCAAAATCTGGTGTCACAATCCACGAACTTCTAAGAGTCACTTCAAATATTGGTTTAAAGAAAATACATCTATTCTCGAAATAAAAGTAAACAAGGAAACTAGGATAACTGGAAGGGGACTCCAGAGTCTGCGAACGCCGGCAGATCTACCTTGGGTCTCCGGATGGACTTGTCACGACCCCAAACCCGATCGTGATGGCGCCCAACAACATTGCTAGGCAAGCCTGACCACAATCGTTCCCAAATCAACCGTAAACCTCAAAACCCACAATCTAAAGAGATTATAATAGTTTTAGAATAATAATCCAATATTTGTCGAAGAATAATACTGAGAAAATACGAAGTCTGATAACAACACTCCCAAAAGATGCGGGGTCACGAGTCTAGAGCCTCTAAAACAATCTGAATAACAATATCTGAACGAAAATACTCAAGTCTGGAAATGTATATATATAAATAAAACTGAAATAGGAAGAGTAGTCAGGTCCTGCAAACGTCAAGCAGCTACCTCAACAACTCTGATAAGCTCTGGAAAACAAAGACTGCTCAGCTAAGCCTCCGGTGTACCTGAATCTGCACACAAGGTGCAGGGAGTAGGGGTGAGTACTACCGACTCAGTGAGTAATAAGCGTATAAAATGTCTGAAGATAAGAAATCCACGAAGTGCCACAAAGTAAAGCTAAAACTAACAGTCCAACACCTAACTACGAACTAACAGCAAAACAACTTCAAATATATCAGTCAAGTATAATGTAAGGATACAATCCAATGCACATGACCGCTACGGCGCGTAGCCCGATCCATTTAACGTCGACGACGCTCACTGGGGGTGTGTACAGACTCCGGAGGGGCTCCTTCAGCCCAAGCGCAATATAATCATACCATTCGCTGCGGCGTGCAGCCCGATCCATACTCAGTCCACAATATGCATATGAGTCACGTAACAGGTTCAATTAATTTCCCAATTTCCAATCTATTAAGAAGAATATACTTTAGATATTTAACTTCAGGAAAAGTGACTTAGCATTTTATAACAGTGATTAAACACACGACTGAGATCAATGATTATACAAAGTATGCTATCACAATGACATTCACCCTCTAAGGATGCTACAGATCGGCACAAGGCCCCAAACACAGCAATAAGCCCAAATATATTCAATACAGGGTGCGTATCGGTCGCCAATATAGAAACATTCTTGTTCGGGATGGACTAAGTCTCAATCCCAGTCATAACCAATCCCGCACCTGCCATGGGCTACGAGTCACGCCCTACAATAGCGTCACAATGTGATAAGCCGGGGTTTCAAACCCTCAGGCCATCATATACACCAACTACTCACCTCTATCCGGCCGCAGAATGGTCCGCAATGCCTTTTCCTTTCGTATCGACCTCCTCGCGCGTCGAATCTAGTCAAAATCACAACGAATACATAAATATGTGTTAAAGAAACATAACCCAATCAAAAATACTCGAAAAGTACTAAAATTCACGAAGTTGGTAAAACCCGAGCCACGGGCCTACTTCTCAAAAAATTCCGAAAATCACACCAACGGATTCCTCGTCTCGCCACGAGTCCGTGCGTATAAAGTTTACCGAAAACGAAGCTCAAATGCCCTTCCAAAATCCGTTTTTACATCATAACTTTTCAAGCCCTAGCTTGACCCATTTTTGATGAATTTCCTACAATTTACATGTAATTTCTACCATAGATTCGAATATTTAGGCCAAGGAATTTACCTCGAAGTGATTCTCAGTCAAAACCCTCGAATTTCCTTGTTCAAGGCTCTTAAGAACGTCAACAATGGAGGAAAAATATGAAAGGGTCGTGGAAAAAATATTATTTTAAAACCCTTCTGTCGCCCAGTCCAGTTTTCGCTTCTGCGGTCTCGCTTTTCGCTTATGCGGGACCGCTTCTGCGGCCACATTTCCGCTTTTGCGATCTTCACTTAGAAACCCGGACTTCGCTTATGCGACGCGAAGTCCGCTTCTGCGGTTCCCTCAAAACCGCTTCTGCGGTACAATGTCCGCTTATGCGGACCCGCTGGTGCGAGCCACCTTCCGCTTCTGCGGAATTTCCCTAGCCGGCCAACGACCGCTTCTGCGACCACGTACCCGCTTCTGCGGTCCATTTCCGCAAAAGCGGAGACACCAGATGACAGCAAAATCTGACCTGCAATACATCTCAAAACTGTCGTTTAACCACCCGAATTCATCCTGAGGCCCTCGGGACCTCAACCAAATGCACAGATATGTTCTATTAGTTCATTCAAACTTGCTCGTAACATAAAAACACTATCATAAACACCAAAATCATCGAATTACCACAGATTCAAGCCTAAGTTAAACTAAAACTTCCGAAACTTGCATTTGATCTAAAACCCGTCCTAAACACCTCCGAATGATCTGAAACTTTGCACGCATATCCAAAATCACCTAACGGAGCTACTGCAACTCTCGGAATTCCATTCCGACCCTCGGATCAAAAACTCACCTACCATCCGGAATTCGCCAAAATCCAACCTTAGCCAATTCAAGCCTAATTCTACACCGGACCTCCAAATTCAATTCCGATTGCGCTCCTAAGTCACAAATCATCCCCCGAAACTAGTCGAATCATCGGAAATCCGTTCCGAGCCTTCTAACTCATAGGTCAACATTCGGTTGACTTTTCCAAACTAACCTTCTCATAAAGAGACTTATTGTCTCATTTCTAACCTAACTCTGTCCGAATTACTTCAAATTCTCTAAACACATATAATGAAACATATAGAAGCAATAAACGGGGAAAACAGGGCGGTAACTCCCGTAACGACGGGTTGGGCCGTTACATCCTCCCCAACTTAAACAAACGCTCGTCCTCGAGCGGGTCAAGAAACATACCTGGAGTCTCAAATAAGTGAGAATATCTGCTCCGCATCTCCTGCTCGGTCTCCCAAGTGGCTTCCTCCACGGGCCGACCTCTCCGCTGTACCTTCACCGAAGCTATGTCCTTAGATCTCAACTTTCGAACCTGACGACCCAAAATAGCCACCGACTCCACATCGTAGGTCAAGTCCTCATCCAACTGGATCGTGCTGAAGTCTAATACATGAGATGGGTCCCCAACATACTTCCGGAGCATAGAAACATGGAACACCGGATGAACTCCCGACAAGCTAGGTGGCAAGGCAAGCATATAGGCCACCTCCCCAATCCTCCTAAGTATCTCAAAAGGTCCAATGAACCTTGGACTCAGCTTTCCTTTCTTTCCAAACCTCATAACGCCTTTCATAGGCGAAACCTTCAACAAGACCTTCTCGCCCACCGCATAAGATACGTCTCGAACCTTCCGGTCCGCATAGCTCTTCTGACGTGACTGAGCTGTACGAAGTCTCTCCTGGATCACTTTTACCTTCTCTAAGGCATCCTGCACTAACTCTGTCCCCAATAATCTAGCCTCGCTGGGCTCAAACCAACCAACCGGAGATCTACACTGTCTCCCATATAAGGCTTCTTACGGCGCCATCTGAATGCTGGATTGATAGCTGTTGTTATAAGCAAACTCTGCAAGTAGAAAGAATTCAGCCCAAGAACCTCAAAAATCAATAACACAGGCACGCAACATGTCCTCCAGTATCTGGATAGTACGCTCGGACTGTCCGTCCGTCTGAGGATGAAATGTTGTGCTCAACTCTACCTGTGAACCCAACTCTCGCTGAAATGTTCTCCAGAACTGAGAAGTAAACTGGGTACCTCTATCTGATATAATAGAAACTGGGACCCCATGCAACCGCACAATCTGTCGGATGAAAATCTCTGCTAACCGCTCCGAAGAATAGGTAGTGCATACAGGAATGAAGTGTGCGGACTTGGTCAGCCTATCCACAATCACCAAAATCGAATCAAACTTCTTCGAGGTACGAGGAAGACCACTCACAAAATCCATAGTAATATTCTCCCATTTCTACTCCGGAATATCCATCCGCTGGAGTACACCGCCGGGTCTCTGGTGTTCATATTTGACCTGCTGACAGTTGAGACATCGAGCCACATAATTCAAAATATCCTTTTTCATCCTTCTCCACCAGTAATGCTGTCTCAAATCCTGGTACATCTTCGCGGCACCCGGATGAATCGAATACCGCGAGCTGTGGGCCTCCTCTAATATCAAATCCCGGAGCCCATCCACATTGGGCACGCAAATCCGGCCCTGCATCCGCAACACACCATCATCTCCAATGGTCACATCTCTGGCATCATCATGCTGGACCCTGTCCTTCAGGACAAGCAAATGCGGGTCATCATACTGGCGCTCTCTGATGCGATCGTACAAAGAAGATCGTGAAACCATACAAGCCAACACCCGACTGGGCTCGGAAATATCTAACCTCACCATCTGATTGGCCAAAGCCTGAACATCAACTGCAAGGGGTCTCTCCCCAACTGGAATATACGCCAAACTACCCATACGAATGGACTTCCGGCTTAAAGCATCGGCCACTACATTGGCCTTCCCGGGAGGATACAGGATGGTAATATCATAATCCTTGAGTAACTCAAGCCATCTCCGCTGCCTCAATTTAAGATCCTTCTGCTTAAACAAGTACTGAAGACTGCAATGGTCCGTATATACCTCACAAGATACGCTATATAGATAATGCCTCCAAATCTTCAAGGCATGAACGATAGCAGCCAACTCTAAGTCATGAACAGGGTAGTTCTTTTCATGGAGCTTTAACTGACGAGAAGCATACGCAATAACTCTACCCTCCTGCATCAATACACAACCGATCCCAACTCCCGAAGCATCATAATACACCGTATAAGAACCTGAAACTGATGGCAATACTAGTACCGGAGTTGTGGTCAAGGCCGACTTGAGCTTCTGGAAGCTCTCCTCGCATTCATCCGACCACACAAATGGAGCATTCTTCTGTGTCAACTTCGTCAAAGGCGAAGCAATAGATGAAAAGCCCTGAACGAACCTGCGGTAGTAACCTGCCAAACCGAGGAAACTCCGGATCTCAGTAGCTGAGGACGGTCTGGGCCAACTCTGCACCGCCTCGATCTTCTTTGGGTCAACCTGAATACCATCACTGGACACCACGTGTCCCAGAAAAGTCACAGTACTAAGCCAGAACTCACACTTAGAGAACTTCGCATAAAGCTTCTCCTCTCTCAAACTCTGTAATACCACCCTCAGGTGCTGCGCGTGCTCCTCCTGGCTACGCGAGTACACCAGAATATCATCGATAAACACGATCACAAAAGAATCCAGATACGGCCGAAATACACTGTTCATCAAGTGCATGAATGCGGCTGGGGCATTAGTCAGCCCGAAGGACATCACTAGAAATTCGTAGTGCCCATATCTCGTCCTGAAAGCCGTTTTCATAATGTCTGAATCCCTAATCTTCAGCTGGTGATAGCCCGATCGAAGGTCAACCTTAGAGAATACCCTTGCTCCCTGAAGCTGATCAAACAAATCCTCAATACGGGGTAGTGGGTACTTGTTCTTCACTGTCACCTTGTTCAGCTGTCTGTAATCAATGCACATTCTCATTGTGCCATCCTTCTTCTTTACAAATAACACTGGTGCACCCCAAGTTGACACACTCGGGAGAATGAACCCCTTATCTAGGAGTTCCTGAAGCTGTTCCTTCAATTCTTTTAACTCCGCTGGTGCCATACGATAGGGAGGGATAGAGATGGGCTGAGTGCCCGCCACCAGATCAATACCGAAATCAATGTCCCTGTCCGGCGGCATGCCCGGCAGGTCCGCTGGAAAGACATCAGGGAAATCCCTCACAACGGGAATCGAATCAAGACTAGGAGTCTCAGCTCCAACATCTCTAACGAAAGCCAAGTACGACAAACAACCCTTCCCAACCATCTGTTGGGCTTTTAGGAAGGAAATCACCCTATCGAGTACATAGTCAGTCACGCCTCGCCACTCGATCCTCGGAATACCCAGAATAGCCAACGTAACTGTCTTGGCATGACAGTCCAGAATAGCATGGTACGGAGATAACCAATCCATACCCAGAATCACGTCGAAATCCACCATGCCCAATAATAACAAGTCAACTCGGGTCTCCAGACCCCCAATAGTAACAAGATCAGATCGATATATGTGATCCACAATAACAGTATCACCCACCGGGGTAGATACATGCACAGGCAAGGCAAGACAACCACGGGTCGTACCCAAATGATGAGAAAAATATAAAGATACATAGGAGTAGGTAGATCCGGGATCAAATAAGGCAGAGGCATCCCTGTGGCAGACTGAGATAGTACCTGTGATGACTGCATCTGATGCACTGGCGTCTTTCCTATCTGGAAGAGCATAGAATCGAGCCTGACCGCCGCCAGTACGGTCCCCACCCCTGGGGTGACCTCTGGCTACCTGACCTCCACTCCTAGCTGACTGAGTGGGCGCTGAAGAAACAGGAGCAGAAGATGAGGGCTGGTCCCTCTGCTGAGACTGTCTACTACGGAACCGGGGACACTGTCTCCTCATATGACCCAACTCACCGCACTCGTAGCAACGACCCGGAGCTGGAGAAGGGGACTGATGGGAACCCCTCACTGCAGGTGAACCCTGGGCTGAAGAAGCAGGAGTAGAGCTCTGAGCTGGAAGGGCACTCAGTGCAGGCTGGCTCTGCTGATGACCCTGATGACCACGGCCTGACGAAGCCCCACTGGACTCTGAACGACCTGACTGAGGAGGTCTGAAGGAACGACCTCTGCTGCGCTGGAACTGGCCCCTAGATGGAGCACCACTGAAACTACCTGAACCTCGAGGCCTCTTAGCCTCCCTCTCCTCACACTCCCGATGACGATCTGTCTCAATCTGACGAGCCGCATCAACTACCCCCTCAAATGTAACTACTGTAGCCCTTTCTCTAGTCATCAATATGCGAATCGGATAGTTGAGGCCATCCACAAACCTCCTGATCCTCCTGCGATCTGTCGGGATCATCCACGTAGCATGCCGAGCTAGCTGTGTAAACCTCAACTCATACTGAGTCACTGTCATACTTCCTAAGTCAACCACTCGAACCGACGACGCAGCTCTTCGCTGTGAGACTGGGGTACATATTTTTCCAAGAATACTGTAGAGAACTGTTGACACGTGAGGGGCGCTGCTCCAATAGGCCTACGCCTTTCGAACTCCTCCCACCAAGTAAATGCAGGCCCTGTGAACTGGAAGGTAGTAAAAGCCACTCCACTAGACTCCAGAATACCCGCAGTACGAAGCATACGCTGGCACTTATCCAGAAAACCCTGGGCATCCTCGCCCTCAACACCACTGAATGTCGGGGGCTGAAGCCTACCGAACCTCTCCAACCGACGCTTCTCGTCATCCGGCATAGCTGGGACCACATGAGCTGGAGCTGGTACGACTGGCGCAACTGGAACAACTGCTGCAACTGGTGCCGCTGGCTGAACTGGCTGAGCTGGAGCTACCCCAGGTGTCTGTAAGCCCTGAACAACCTGCTCGGGTGTGCGAGCATCGGGGGTCTGATGACCACCCCCGGTTTGAGAAGTAGCCGCCGCTGTAGTAGCTGAAACCGCTTGAGCCAGGCCAGTGCAGACGGACAAGATCTGAGCCAAAGCCTCCTGGAGACCAGGAATCACGATGGGCACTGCCGGTGCCTGAACAGGTGCTGCTGGAGCATCTACAACTGGAATTTGACCCTGGGCCTGGTCAATTGGTGCTGGGATCTTACCCTAAGTCTTGTCAACTGGTGGGTCAGTAGGTGTTGTCCCTGCTGCCCTGCCTCTACCTCGACCACGGCCTCTAGGTGGCACTGGTGGTCGTCCGCCACGTCCGTTAGCGCGGGTTCTCGCCATCTGCGAGAGAATAGAATACGGAAATTTAGTTTTTCATAATAACAAGCCGCACGATTTGAATTTCAAGGAAGTGAAGTGTTTCCTAAAGGTTCTGTAGCCTCCCGAGGATAGATACGGACGTCTACGTACCGATCCGCGAGACCCTACTAAACCGGCTCATGACTCGCGAGGCCTAGTAACCTAGGCTCTGATACCAACTTGTCACGACCGCAAACCCGATCGTGATGGCGCCCAACAACATTGCTAGGCAAGCCTGACCACAGTCGTTCCCAAATCAATCGTAAACCTCAAAACCCACAATCTAAAGAGATTATAATAGTTTTAGAATAATAATCCAATATTTGTCGAAGAATAATACTGAGAAAATACGAAGTCTGATAACAACACTCCCAAAAGATCCGGGGCCACGAGTCTAGAGCCTCTAAAACAATCTGAATAACAATATCTGAACGAAAATACTCAAGTCTGGAAATGTATATATATAAATAAAACTGAAATAGGAGGAGTAGTCAGGTCCTGCGAACATCAAGGAGCTACCTCAACAACTCTGATAAGCTCTAGAAAACAAAGTCTGCTCAGCTAAGCCTCCGGTGTACCTGAATCTGCACACAAGGTGCAGGGAGTAGGGGTGAGTACTACCGACTTAGTCAGTAATAAGCATATAAAATGTCTGAAGATAAGAAATCCACAAAGTGCCACAAAGTAAAGCTAAAACTAACAGTCCAACACCTAACTACGAACTAACAGCAAAACAACTTCGAATATATCAGTCAAGTATAATGTAAGGATGCAATGCAATGCACATAACCGCTACGGCGCGTAGCCCTATCCATTTAACGTCGACGGCGCTCACTGGGGGTGTGTACAGACTCCGGAGGGGCTCCTTCAGCCCAAGCGCAATATAATCATACCATTCGCTGCGGCGTGCAGCCCGATCCATACTCAGTCCACAATATGCATATGAGTCACGTAACAGGTTCAATTAATTTCCCAATTTCCAATCTATTAAGAAGAATATACTTTAGATATTTAACTTCAGGAAAAGTGACTTAGCATTTTATAACAGTGATTAGACACAGGACTGAGATCAATGATTATACAAAGCATGCTATCACAATGACATTCACCCTCTAAGGATGCTACAGATCGGCACAAGGCCCCAAACACGGCAATAAGCCCAGATATATTCAATACAGGGTGCGTATCAGTCGCCAATTTAGAAACATTCTTGTTCGGGATGGACTAAGTCTCAATCCCAGTCATAACCAATCCCGCACCTGCCATGGGGTGCGAGTCACGCTCTACAATAGCGTCACAATGTGATAAGCCGGGGTTTCAAACCCTCAGGCCATCATATACACCAACTACTCACCTCTATCCGGCCGCAGAATGGTCCGCAATGCCTTTTCCTTTCGTATCGACCTCCTCGCACGTCGAATCTAGTCAAAATCACAACGAATACATAAATATGGGTTAAAGAAACATAACCCAATAAAAAATACTCGAAAAGTACTAAAATTCAGGAAGATGGTAAAACCCGAGCCCCGGGCTTACTTCTCGAAAAATTCTGAAAATCACACCAACGGATTCCTCGTCTCGCCACGAGTCCGTGCGTATAAAGTTTACCGAAAACGAAGCTCAAATGCCCTTCCAAAATCCGTTTTTACATCATAACTTTTCAAGCCCTAGCTTGACCCGTTTTTGATGAATTTCCTACAATTTACATGTAATTTCTACCATAGATTCGAATATTTAGGCCAAGGAATTTACCTCCAAATGATTCTCAGTCAAAACCCTCAAATTTCCTTGTTCAAGGCACTTAAGAACGTCAACAATGGAGGAAAAATATGAAAGGGTCGCGGATGAAATATTATTTTAAAACCCTTCTATCGCCCAGTCCAGTTTTCGCTTCTGTGGTCCCGCTTTCGCTTATGCGGGACCGCTTCTGCGGCCACATTTCCGCTTTTGCGATCTTCACTTAGAAACCCGGACTTTGCTTATGCGACGGGAAGTCCGCTTCTGCGGTTCCCTCTAAACCGCTTCTACGGTACAGTGTCCGCTTATGCGGACCCGCTGGTGCGAGCCACCTTCCGCTTCTGCGGAATTTCCCTAGCCGGCCAATGACCGCTTCTGCGACCACGTACCCGCTTCTGTGGTACCGCTTCTGCGGTCCATTTCCGCATAAGCGGAGACACCAGATGACAGCAAAATCTGACCTACAATACACCTCAAAACTCTCGTTTAACCACCCGAATTCACCTCGAGGCCCTCGGGACCTCAACCAAATGCACAGATATGTTCTATTACTTCATTCAAACTTGCTCGTAACATAAAAACACTATCATAAACACCAAAATCATCGAATTACCACGGATTCAAGCCTAAGTTAAACTAAAACTTCCGAAACTTGCATTTGATCTAAAACCCGACCTAAACACCTCCGAATGATTTGAAACTTTGAACGCATATCCAAAATCACCTAACGGAGCTACTGCAACTCTCGGAATTCCATTCCGACCCTCGGATCAAAAACGCACCTACCATCCGGAATTCGCCAAAATCCAACCTTAGCCAATTCAAGCCTAATTCTACACCGGACCTCCAAATTCAATTCCGATTGCGCTCCTAAGTCACAAATCATCCCCCAAAACTAGTCGAATCATCGGAAATACATTCCGAGCCTTCTAACTCATAGGT